GATCAGGGCGACCGAGCCGGCAAACGCGTTTGCAAAACACGCGTTTCCTAGCAACCAACTACATGATAAATCGAAGTTCAAGTGTTATAAATTAATTACGAGTTGGCTTCCTTGGTTACGGGGGGAGAGAAGAGAGTATTTTAACTCTGACATTAATCTCCCGTACTCTTCTCTGGCCTGTCTCACGGAGGGGTCTACGGGGAGGGGACTTTCGGGCTGAAGCCCCCCCCCCCAAATTGGTAAAATGTAACTATGTTTTATGGTAAAAAATATAAAAAATTAACTCTTAAAGTATTATTGTTCGTGTAATTACATTTAATAGGACTTCAAAAATCACATAAACACCATCTCATATATGTAGATAGTATTATCTTTATTTTTTTTTTAAGAGTAGTTATCATTCTATATATGAAAAAAAAAAAAACGTTTCGGGCTGAAGCCCTCCCACTAAAATGAAATCCTGAATCCGCTAGTGCGGTGTATTGAAATCAATACATTGATTTTAATAATTATTTACTTACCCGTTTATATTGTTTTATTGGCTTGTATTAGTCTTGCCCAAAATTGGTCTTGGTCTTGCACTTTGCGAAACCAAGACCAAGGCCGCTTAACTGTTGCAAGACCAAGACCAGGACTAGTAAAAAAAAAATCAATTTGTTAAATAAAAATTAATTCAAAAAGTTACTAATACTTGACAATCTTAGTTACTGTATATTAATAATTGATATAACCAATATACTTTTGCATTCAACTCATCTAATTTATCATTTGGCCTTAGTTAGGTTTCTCCTATCTAAAAAAATACATCAATATCTCTATATAAGCTAATAAGTAACTGCAAGACTGTTGAGAGAGTCTTGCGCAAGACCAAGACCATGACCAAGACTGAGTTTGCAAGACCAAGACTCGTCTCGGTCTCGGATTTGGGCAACACTAGCTTGTATACTGTAAAGGAAGGAAATGTTCAGCATTTCATCCTCTTTGTAATCAGCTATAGTATATTGCAGCTCCTTGTAATCAAAATTATATTTTGACGTGATGCCCAATTAATGACTCGGAAAATAAACAAAACGAATAATAACAACTGTAGTAAACATTTGGACTAAAATATCTCAAAATTTAAATACCAATCAGAAAACAATTTGCGTAAGTCAATACAACTGCATTTTTTAATTAGCCATAAAAATAAGAAATAATTAGTTTCTATACGATTTTATGTTGCATTCGAGTTTCGAAAAATTACTGACCCCCGTTACAGGAGTTTTATATTTTGTATTAATATATATAAAATCTATTTTAATCAAAAATAAATTTTTATCACTTATGTTAGTTAGCATAAACTTTTTTTTTTTTTTTTTTTTTTTTTTTTTTTTTTTTTTTTTTTTTTTTTTTTTTTTTTTTTTTTTTTTTTTTTTTTTTTGGATTCTTCCCTACCTCGCCTTTTAGGCTATACGGGATTTTCGAACCTGCATTCGAACTGGCGCGACACCTGAAAAAGGCCATACACCAGGATTGGCAGACATTATGGAACAATAGTCCTCCAAATAAATTAAAGGTATACAAAAGCAAGCGAAGCCATGGAGGAGAACTAGTCGCAGTAAACACAGAGAGGAAGTTGTCCTTACGCAACTGAGAATAGATCATACCAAGCTTACTCACCATCACTTAATTACAAAAGAAAACCCGTTCGTTTGTCGGAACTGTGGAGAGAAAATGACAGTGGTCCATATCTTCAAGAGTGGTGCCTTTTACATCAGAGAATTAACCATAAGGGGAATACAAGAAAATACACTGGCTGCTTTGGAAAATGATGAAAAAATAGGTAAAATCATATGTTTTCTCTTTGAAGGCGGAATCTTAAAAAATCTCTGAACCTCATATGCAGCACTTCCCACTATTTTTTTTCTTTTACCTAATTTTTAATAACTAACTTTAATAACTGTAAACAATTTAAATCTTAACGTGCATTTTATATTATTTGTATCCAATTATTAATATTAAAAACCAAAAGATATAATAATATATAATTTTAATTAACCTCTTTGATGAGTAACAGATTTTACACCTTTACCATACAACATACAACCAATAAACCTATTGTATCATTTTTAGAATATGATAAAATGATCGCCAGTCAGAGCAAAGTTTCCTACACTAATTTATCTACAATTAAAATTTTATATATTGTAAATAATATTACTTTGTGAATGTAGAACAAAAAATTTATTAATATATTTCATATTATTAATCTCGTCTTGTTAATGTTTTAACTTCTACCGTATGGTCTAAACCACACAACGTATTTTTTAAATTTTATTATTTATGATTAATTCGTAAATTTTAATTTTCATATTTACGTTTGGATCGTCTAATTTAACACTTGCATTAACAGCGCGGATATGAACTATTGCTATTTGACATAGGTCATTTCATATTAAAGTTTAATTTTTCTACAACCCTGAAGCCGAACGTTAGAGTGGATGGGATGATAACATTAAAGCAGCACTCAGAGCGGAATAATTCTTTCATTTTTTTTGCCCCCAAGGCTCGAGGGTCTATGAACCGACTCTGATTTGTAAATCGTAGTGTGAGTGATTTGTTGAATCCGCTTAGTGAAGAGTGAATCTGATTTTAGCTTCATTCATGAACCCCAATGCTTCTGTAATGCCTCAATGTCTGAGAATCAACAATTCTTTGTTGCAGTCTAGCAAAGTTTATTTTTCAACCAAATTTATAAGAATTTTATTATTAGGAAAAAAAAAATAGTTCAGTCACTTTTTCTCCTCTTTTTATCAGCCTATTTTCTCTCTTTGTTGTTTGTTTAGTAATTATTGCCGAGCTTTAGTTTTGTCAATAAAAAAAACTGTGGTGTGTGCTTTAGATCAGACGATAGAAATGAGAAGATCAACAAGGTAAGATTAATGTTATTTTACGGTTAATATATGCTATGATTAATATACACAATTATAGTTGTGTATAAACTATGTTTTGTTGTATATTCATAAAGTAATAACATTTACAATACGATTATAACTGTGTATAAATTACTGTAGTAAACCGTGCTCTGACTGATCGTCTTTTGTATCATACTCTAAAAATTATAGCAGTAGGTTTATGATATGTGATGAATATTTTTGATTCAAATCTATTTGCTTAATATTTAATAAAAACTCTGTAATTTTTTTATAAGACTTCTGGAACGGGGGCAGTAATTTGCATTATAATGCAATTCATAATTTGCATTGCTAATTCAGTATTTGTGTACCAGAAAATCTAATAGAAACACAATTTCTTATTTTTAAAACAAATGATTAAAAACAAATATCTATATTGACTTCCGCAAATTAATTTCTGAATTCTCCATAATATTTAAATTTTGAGATATATTAGGTTTGCAAATAAGTCGTTTCGGTTTTTCTTTTTATTTGTATGTCACTGTGATATACTTCTTATCTGATGAATTAATCCTTGGGGGGATTGTTTATCCTGTTTGTAATATGTCAACAACTATATCTGTTGACTCATGTTAAAACTAGCTTAGCATTGTGTTTGCTATTGCACTATGAATATGGAAGAAAATATCCATTATCGGCATATTTTGTTGTATTATTTTTAAAAAAGTAAGCGTGCTGAAGAAGCTCATAGAAAAAATAGCAGTGTTTATGTGGATGACGCCTTACCCGAACGCACCTGTCAAAATTGGTTTGCCGAAAATCATTCAGGAAATTCTGACATCGATGATGCTTAACGGTCTGATCGCCCACATGAAATTAAAACGAGCAGGGGCACATAAATGTTAGGGTCCCTCACATGATTTTTTTTTTTGAAAATCACAAAAAAGTGGAATTTAGGGTCACATAGACTACACAAAATGACATCAACAGGACTTTCATAAACAAACTACAAATGGAGATAAAAACCTATCAGAAGTTTTTGTTTGTTTATTCCTTATGAAGGCATTAAATAAAAAACAACATCATTCATATGGCTTTGAAGACCAATAATTCAGCTTTTCAATGGATATAGTAATATCGAACATCCTGAAAAGTTACGAATGATCGGAAGTGTATTGTGTCACAACAAGACAACGCAAGGCCCCAGACATTGGTCACTCGCAATAAATTATTGAACCTTAGATGAGACCTTTTGCCCATTCACCAGACCCTAGCTCCAAGTGACTACCACTTATTCCAGTCTCTGCAGAACTCCATGAATGAAAAGAAATTCCAAAAGGAAGAAGACATCAAAAACCACTTAACAATAAATAATTTTTTAACAATAAATTCCAGACATTCTATGATTATGGCATCATGCAGTTAGTGGAAAGATGGGAAAAATCCTATTAAATAATGGTCAATATATTTTAGATTAACATACATTTTATGTCAATCGTACAATGAGTTTTATTTCACCCGGAAAAAAACGAAAGGACTTATTTGGCAATATTAGTCCAAATGTGCAAACAGTTGTTATCATTTGGTTTTCGACTCTTTTCACTTTATCCCTCTCTAACACGGCATCGCTTTCAAATACAATTTTGAATCATAACTCATTATAAAGAGGATAAAATGGTGAACGAAAATCGCTTACAGTAAGTAGGTTCAATTTTTAATTTCTGAGATATTTTAATCTAAATGCAAAAACGTTTCTATTAATCGACTCGACCCGGATTTACCTTAATAAGCGTTACAGGGTATATGATTTAAAATTTAAATGTCAGTTTGTTTATAATCGCTAATCTTCGAAAATTCATTAGCGATAGCTTCGAAATTTTGCTAACACAACGTTCTTAACAAAATAATTATAGATTAATAATAGCACCGTAAAATTTCCTATCGTATTATTAAAATCGCTGGAAGAAAACAAAATTAATATCAATAGTATTATAATTCTATGATTTGATATGTCGTTACCATAACGCGTTTCCTATTATAATACGACACTAATACCATTATAATAGTTAATTATCACAATGAGACGTCTCAGCATATTTCAATGAGTGGAAATAGATAATATAGGTTAGGAAGTAGTTAGTGATTACGTTATCAGGAACGAGGCGAACTAAATTATTAATTGTTGAGGTTATCTTGTACAAATCGTTATTTTCTATAAATGTTTTTCAACAATGGCTATGCCGTTGGTAGCAATTCATTTCGACAATTCCATCTCCTTCGATTATTTTGTGGAGCTATTCCAAGAACTGAAGACCCTACTCGTGAATTATGTTACAGCAAACTTATTTTTGTCTACAAAGTACCTGTTCGATTTTTTAGACAACTTCAACCTTCAGGTCTGCTTCTATTTAATATTTATATATTAAATATGTTTAGTGTAAAATTCTACGGAAAATCACAATTATAATATAAATACATCGACTTCATAATTTTTCAACTTTAATTTCTCGAAAGTCAAACCAAAAAAAAATCAAAAAAAAGTTTATTGATATCACACGTCAAAAATTTACGTAAAACTTTCAAAATTTAAGACATAAAAAACTTGTGCCTTAGACCACACGATTTAAGTGAAGACATCAACAAGACGAGATTAATAATATGAAATATAAATTATAAATAATAACTTATTATAAAGAAGATGAAACGCTTAACATTTCCTTCGCTTACAGATCAGAAATATTTTAATCCATATGTTCAACTAACCTTATCATTGGGTTTTCAACTCTATTTTTTCCTTTTCGCCTCCCTAACACGGCGTCGTGTTAAGATACAATTTTGAATTATAGCCTCTTAGAGAGAGGATGAAACGCTTAACGATTTCTTCGCTTAAAGTATATAGGTTATAGTTTCTGAGATATTTTAATCCATATGTAATAATATTTTAATTATTCGACTCCATCCGACTTTACCCCAGCGTTAATGTCGAACGAAATCTGCTGGATCAATCTAGTTTATCCTTCACAAAAAAGTTCAAAACACGCTTAAAGAAGTTTTCACTTCAATAATTTATTTTTATTGAACTAATAAAAAATAGTTTTAAAAATTAAGATTACATTATAATAAACAGTGGGTATCACATGACTTAATACGATGAAAGGAGTGTTAAGGTCAGTGTGTAACGTGGGGTTTGAAACATAAAAGGGTGCGTCTACAATTTTCCGAAGGACTTTTGACTGGAATATTTCTATATTGATTTCTTTGCTGTTCCCCATAGTTCAATCCCATATGCCCAAAGTGGTTTAATGAGGACTTTGTAAATAGTTAATTTATTAGTCACAGATAATTTAGAACGTCTGTCAAGTAGTCTAGAAAGAAGTCCGTGTCGCTGATTAAGTTCTTTTCTATTTTGTTTTATGTGGTATGTCCATGACAGTCGTTTGTCCAAGTGAAGACCTAAATATCGTACAGTTTTTGAAGGTGGTAGTGCAATATTATTGAAGAACACTGGAGGACAAGAGTCATGTTTAAGTGTAAATGAAACAAATTGACTTTTAGACTCGTTCATTTTTATTTTCCACCTTTTAGCCCGACAAGCTATGTCGTCTAGGTGTTCTTGAAGTACCTGAGAAGCCTTAGCTGCATCCTTGTTAGATGTTAATATTGCCGAGTCATCAGCAAATGTAGCCAATAGTGTTTCGGAATTTTTTGGGATGTCTGAACAATTTCATCATGTAACATCACAATTTTAGTCTATTTTGACCAGCACATTTTTTGATACATCTCATAATTACAGCTTTTAATATTAGTTAAAACTAAACTGAGAAACATTGTTAAAGTTTTCTTGTAACCTTGATAAGTAAAGATATACAAAAACATTCAATGGAATCAGTATTATCAATATAAGAATCAAAAGAAATAGTTGAGGCAATTTCTATGATCGCCATTGTATTGTTTTGTAGGGACTTCCTAATGGATTCTTCCGAACTACATGCTCCGTCCATCTTAACCTCCTTTCATTCATATCATAACATTTTGATTGACCAGTTTCTGCGAGCAGGTATTCATAGGTCTTAATCCTCCGTGAGTTCGTCCTCTGATCCCAAATCGCCGCGGTTTTCGAGCGAAGAATTGTTCTCTCAAATCTTTCAATAATTTTTCCTAGGTTGTCTGTAAAGCTCATACATGTAATTGAATAGATATAAGTAATAATTTATACATTTTTGTTTACTTATAAAAACGTTTAATATAAATACTATGAAAGTAGAACACTACGTTACCTTGATCACGTAGCACGGATAAATGAAGATGATAGCAATTATGTGTTACCTGGAACAAGGAAAAGTCGGCCAAACTTGATTAGTATTAAGATCGGAATGCATCTGCTTAAAACCGCTATAATTTACGAATAAATCTTTTGGAAGGTTCAAGAAATGTATCCATACATGTATGCATAAGTATCTATTTTATGTACAATTTCGAAGAGGGATTATGTTCATATCATTTAGTGCGTGTTAAAACTTGAGACAGTAAAAAAAAAAGTTAAAACAACGGAGTAAGACAAATTAAAAGTTGGTGTTAAGTTGCCATAAGAAGGAGTTTGGTCAGTGAGTAAAACACTGTATCCCTAATCTTCAGATTCCGGATTCGAAACCGTCTGTATACTACTTAATATTTACACTGCATCATCCCTGAATCGACCTTGGGTGTCCAGAGATACTCCTGTCTAGCCTCTTTAAAATGAGTAATCTTAATTAAATAATAAGTTAAGGGAAATAATCTGGTGGTTAAGTGTGATAATCGTCTAATAATTTTTCTGCACAGGTGGGATTTGAAACAGTATTTCCTTACAAAAATACTGAAATAATAAAAGTACTGAACCCAAGACTACCCATGAGTAGTGTTTTTTTCTTGCGATCTTGCGATTAATGATAAGAGTGACATTTTGATTTCAAATTCAATCGAAAAATGGTTTCACAAATGGAGAATTAAAATCAATCCTATCAAGTCAACTCATATTAGCTTCTTTCTGAGGAAGATCTCGTGTCCTGCTGTGACAATAGACAATAAGCCAGTTCCCTCAAAAACACATGTACGGTATCTCGGACTATACTTGGACAAAAAACTCACCTGGAACATTCACACTAAATTAAAAAAAACAAGAACTGACCAGACGATACAAACAACTGTCACATCTTTTGGACTACAGATCTCCACTCAACTTAATAAACAAGCGACTAAACTACACAACTATACTATGATATATTTGGACATACGGAGCAGAACTTTGGGGTTCCGCAAAACACACACACATAAACAAAATTCAAACCACACAATCCAAAATACTTCGTAAAATCTTCAATGCTCCTTGGTCTATTTCAAATCACACCATACACACAGACATGAACATACCAAAAGTAAAATCCTGCATACACCACATGTACACAACATTTCATTCTTCTACTCTCAACCATCGAAATCCACTCGTTCTATCTCTATCTTCCTCCCTGTTATCTGGTGAGCCTCAAAGGCGACTAAAAAGGCAGTGACCTAGAAATCTTCTGCTGAAAAGTTAAAAATATCAAGAATTGAAGAAGACAGAATAAACTTCAACACCTTTGCTTGATACGCTACAACGCAGTGGCAAATTTAATGCAAAAAAAAAAATAAATAAAAAAAAAATTAATTTGTAATATCGTCTCCTCCACCTATTTTTTATATTATGTGTCTTTGTTTTAATATCGTTTTCATCTTATTATGTGATAGCTATATATGTTCCTTTATAGTTATAGGTGGGATGTTCCATCCAATATTTCGGTTAAACGAAAATGAACCGTTTGTAATAAGTACGCAAGTTACTATGTTAGTTTTTTTTAGGAATTTATACAATTAGCCTAAGGGTTTTCAGATAGATAAATTAAAATATTTTAAATTTTCAGGACCTCAGCGAAATTCTGATTGCGTCATTAGTGCTACTATGCGTTACCGTGTTCTTCTACTACCTCTGGAGGACGCGTGGCATGCCACCCGGCCCTTGGGGTTTGCCACTCGTCGGATACCTTCCTTGGATAGACAAGGACAAGCCCTACGTGTCGATGATGGAACTGTACCAGGATTACGGTGGTATTTGTACTATCAGGCTTGGCGAAGTGGTGGCAATCGTAGTCTCTGAACCTCACTACGTCAAGGAAGCCTTGAGTCAAGAATCGCTCACTGGAAGAGCGCCACTCTGGCTCACTCACGGGCTCATGAACAACAACGGTGAGTCTAAATAATTAATACCTTATTAATATAAAATAAAAATATAATTTGTTTTATTTTAATATTCCACGCAATTTGCACTTGCGCGGCAGCGCATCTATGAAATGTGTTGTATTTTTATTGATTGGTGTAGTTGCTTTATTTTGTTATTATTGGTATAGTAGGTCTCTTAGCTATTTCCTTTTTAATCTGTGTCGTTTAGGTAACATGGAGCAGGAAATATAAAGAACCAGATGATTAGAATGATTTTTGGTTGAAATATGAAAAATAGAGTATTTGTCTTGGATGTAGGATTTTACTGTTGCGCTATTTAAGTCATAAGTTTTATTTGATTTAATTTTTATTATTATTATTATTAATACATAACATAAAATTGGACATAAAAATAAATTTGCGATCTGCGCATTTCTTTGCAATGAGCAAATTTTTTGGCAGCTTCACAGCGTTCCATTACAATCCAGGAAATAGTTCAGCAGGTCTCTTGACCACCGCCTACGTAATCGTCGAGGTGGGCTGTACGGGTTTCTAGTGCTTTTAAGGTTTTCTGTCAGAGGATTTATATTGTAAGTTAGTCTTTGGTGAAAGTTGTTGTAGTTTATTTTTGCAGTGTGTGAAAGTGTTGGGATGTTCAAGTCCGTATGTAATCCATCGTTTGTGACATAAAATGGTGCGTCAACTATTCTTCGTAAAATTTTGGATTGGAAAGACTGGATTTTTTTAATATTAGAAGTTTTAGCAGAACCCCACAGTTCTATGCCATAAGTCCAAATTGGTTTTAGAAAAAGTTTATAGAGGGTTATTTTGTTAGTCAACTATAATTTTGAACGTCTGTCAAGTAACCTAGATAAAATACCGTGATATAATTAAAAAAAAAAAAAAACCTGACTACTGAAATAACCCCATCCATTCTAAGAGGATGATCTTGCATATATACTTAAATAAATTAGTAGATTATAAGGAAAATTGAAATCTGTAAATATTTAGATTTGGTTTAGTAGTCGGTACATTCCAATTATTTTGGGTATTATCATGCACTGATGCAAGGGATCAAATCTACTTGTACTGCAAAATTTTAGCTCTAACCCGACTACCGTGAGTAAGACACTATATCCCTTTGCTCCAGATCACGAGTTCTAACACGTCTGTAGGTAATTAATTATTTATTCTGCTGCATCATCCCTGGATCGACCTTGGGTGTCCAGAAATTCTCCTGCGGCACACCTAGCCTCTTTAATATGAGTAATCTCAAGTAAGTAATAAGTCAAGGGGAATAATCTAGCGGTTAAACGTGATCATGGCCCAATCATTTCCTTGCACAACAGTTGGAATTGAAACAGTTCAACAGCGTTCTGAACCCAAGAGACTCCATTAACCCAACTACTACAGCAATTAAGCTTTAATTTTCAATTAGGAAAACTCGCAAATAAATTATTTTTAATAAGTTAATATATTTTTATAAATTATCTCTTTAATTATTCTCTGGAAAATGATCTCCGAATGATCTCCTCTCTGGCCGACTGATCTTCGATGTGTAACGCTCGGGTAAAGTTGGCTGTGGTCGACTAATTAAATTGTTTTTGCATACCGATTAGAATATCTCAGAAACTTAAAATTGGACCTGTATACTGTAAGCGAATGTATCGTTCAAAAAATCCGCCTCTCTGTTATGGGCTATTATTCAAAATTATATCTTAACACAACGCAGTGTTCCAGAGGTGCCGAACTGTCGAAAACCAAATTATAACGAGTTTTATGGAAGATATGGATTAAAATATTTCAGAAACCGAAAGTCAGACCTACCTACTGTAAAATGAGAAATATTCATTATTTCATCCTCTTTGTAATGAATTATTAAATACAATTGTATATTAACGCGACGCCGTGTTAGAGAGGAGAAAAGGGAAACATAGTGTAAAATGACCTATTATTAGTGTTGCCCAAAATCGTTCTTGGTCTAGCACTTTGCAAGACCAAGACCAAGGCCGCCTAACTGTATACCAAGACCAGGGGACTGGTAAAAAAAATCGATTTTTTAGATAAAAATGAAGGAAAATAGTTACAAATACTTGAAAATTACGGTAGTATCTTTATAGTAATAAGCTAATAAGTAAGTGTAAGACTGTTGCGAGACTCTTGCGCAAGACCAAGACCGTGACCAAGACTGAGTTTACAAGACCAAGACTCGTCTCGGTTTCTCATTTTGTCAACAATAATAATGTAAGCGAGAGCATTGTTCAACATTTCGTCCTCCCTGTTATGGCCTATTATTCAAAATTATATCTTAATGCGACACAGTGTTTCAGAGATAAAAAAAGAAAAATATAGTGTCGGAAACCAACTGATAACGAGTTTTATGGAAGATATGGATTAAAATATCTAAGAAAATAAAAATCGGACCTGCCTACTTTAAAAAATGAAATGTTCATTATTTCATAATATTTGTAATGAACTATTATACACAATTGTATCTTAGCGCGACGCCGTGTTAGAGTGACGAAAAAGAAAAATAGCGTCGAAAACCTAATGGTAACGAGTTTTATGGTATCGCTTAAAAAATCTCAGAAACTAAAATCGGAACTGAATACTACAAGGGAGGAAATTGTGCAGCATCTCATTCTCTTTAAAAAGACCTATTGTTAGTGTTGCCCCAAATTGGTCTTCGCAAGACCAAGACCAGGAGTAGCAAAAAAAAAAAAATCGATTTTTTGAATAAAAATTAAGGTATAGTACTTGACAATCTTAGTTACTATAGTAAAGAATTGCTATAACCTATATATTTTTACATTTAATTCCTTCTACTTTTCATTCTGACTTAGTTAGATTTCTCCTATCTAAAAAAATGCAGTAATATCTCTTTAGTAATAAGCTAATAATTAAGTGCAAGACTCTTGCGCAAGACCAAGACTGAGTTTGTAAGACCAAGACTCGTCTTCGTCTCGCAATTGAGCAACGCTACTCATTATTTATAATTTATATTTTACATTATTTAATCTCGCCTTGTTGTTATTTTAACTTCTATCATGTGGTCTAAAGCACATACCTTATTTTTTTTGTTTTGTTGGAGATTTTTATGTATTTTTTTTTTGGATGTGTAATCTGAATATATATATATTTTTTAAAATATGTAGCTATTTATTTAAAATAAAATAACCTGAGTATTGAGTTTCAAACTATTATAAAAATACAAACAGTACTTCAGCATAAATTGTAGATACCATTGGTTCTTCCTTCCATTGATAAAAGTATTTAGTAGTTTCCTTAATCTATTCCAGACAAGTTAATATATATTTGCTTGTAGAATAAATGGTGTTGTCTTAAGTCAACTCCAATTTTCTTAAAAGTTTGTCTTTGCTATTTCACAATAAAAGATATCATCGATAGCATCGAAATAGGGTACTTGGAAGAAAAAAAAATCACGTAAATTTTAGCTCTAATAGAACCAGAACCTTAACTATCATCCAAATAGAATTGCACAATCCCCCTCTAGCTCTATCCATCCCTACAATCCTCCTCGAAGGTTGAAGCGGCAGTGGCCCAGAGACCTATTGTAAGAATATATTGGAGTTCTGGCAATGGTCAGATTCTCCACTCAACCCATGTATGTCTGGTTATAGTGTCTCTGCTCATCCTCCATTGGTAATACTATTGATGCGTCTGAGTGAAAGACGCTGGGATCTCCTAGAGACCTGCCTTTCCCTTCCACGAGTGTGGGGAAACGCTTGGCTCGGAGATCTTGAGTGACTGAATATTGTAAATATTGTATAAAAGCATGCGGTATTTAAATATTTATTTTGTAAGATTATTTTATTTTTGTTTAGTTTAGTTTCTTTTAGTTTATATACATTTACTTTAGTATTATTATATTGCCGTGTATTATTTTTATTTATTGTGTGGTATGAATGAGCTACTTTATATCACTATTACTATTGTCCTTGAATGTGACAGATTGTAATATACCTCAATAAAGACTATTTAAAAAAAATAGAAATCAAGTGCTAAAGAATTTACATAAAATTGAGAATACACTTCTCATAACATAAAATAGACCATATTTATCTCAAAACATTAAATCACAGTTTACACGATTAAAGATCTATTTAATGCAACAATAAAAGTTTCCAATAGGTTATATTGTTCCTAAATTTCGTGTTTAAAACATACCATCTCTCCCTCTTTGTATATTAACAAAAATATATTAAATTAATTAATCAGCTGTTTAAAAAGGCATTTATTATTTTATATAATTTACGTGGAGTACACTATATATTTATTTGTTTTTCTGAGTACTATGACATCCATTAGACCGTTATTTTAAATAAATATATTCAATATATTTCTTTTAATGTTTATGTTTTATTTCTATTTAATGTTCATGGTAAATGTTTATATACTTATCAAAAGTATCCTATCTAATTATCTACTTGATATGCTCTTCTGAAGAATCGGGTCGATTTTTTTTTTCTCTTTGACCTTTCCTTTCAACCTCCCTCTCACTCCGTGATTCGAAATTTAGGGCAGCGGAGCAAAATAGGCAACCGGCATCCTCCTTCACACCTCATTTCCTCTAACTAACCAAATAAATATTAAAATAAAAATAATAATAATACAATATAATAAAATAAGTTATAAGTTGTATTGGCTAAAATAATATTATCAAATCAAACTTATTACTCATTAAACTCCTTTTATTTCCAAGCAGTTTTATAAGAAAATTTTAATAGTAGAAATAAGTAAAGCAACAATATTTTTTTTTCCTGAACCGAAATAATATAATACTTCGAATGAACTATTACATTTGACTATTTGGGTTTATTTTTTTCAATAATGAACCATTATAATCAACCGAAAAATTCAAAAACTTGATCTCCCTTCAAAATTCGGAGTTTTACGTTTCAGGATAAGTCGAATTCGAATATCGAACAATTTTTTTTTGCTCATTTTCTCCAAACCGATTTTTTTCAAATTTGGATTTCAAGTCAGAGGTCACCCGAGGATGACCT